GTTTTTCATAAACCACTAGTTTATAGTATTTTATTATAGCAACCCAAGCTAAAACATAAAGTATTATCTATTTTTTAAAGAAACTATTCATCTAGCTAATATTATATTTCACGTGTATAAAATTATACACAAACTGAGAAATTGATGAATTAGGTGACAGCGTAATTAGGAAAATTTATAACTGGTTAACTGTCCTCACCCAATGTCCCATTTCCACCTCAGTGGAGTTCATCAGTGGAAAGCTAAGTTCTTGCTGGATTTAAATGAAATCATAGAGAAAATAGTGGCCAAACTTAACATTGCTGGAAAACTAGCATGTTAGTTAGAAGTCAACATTAATTCCTCAAAAGGTCCTTACAACCTGAAAGGATGAACCCAATAAGATGATAAAATTTAATAAGAATATAAATGTATGATTCTACACTAGGTTCCACAAGCATTACTGAATACAGATAAGTGTGGCTTAGAAGAATGCACATTACAAATTTTGTTAAGAATTCAAATTGGGGTGGAAGTGGGTCCTAATATAAGGTGACAGGAAAAGATTTTATTTTGGGTGGTGGACGCAATATATAGATCTTGTAACATATAATAGAACCCCACACCTGAAACCTATATGTTCATGTTGACCAATGTCACCCCAATCAATTTAATTAAAAAAAAATTGGTAATAAGATGCTGAGGGTCAACAATGTACTCTTTGAGAATTACTATATTAGGCGGTATGAACAGAATTACAACTTCTTAAAAAAAATGACCATCCCATTTTACTCATTGTTTTTCAGGTTTCTTCTAAAATTTGTTTCTAGGTGATACACTTTATGAAGTATAATGTTAAAATCGTGAATATATCAAATGCCATGTTAAATAAAGAAGAGCAATAAAACTAGAAATATTAGGGTAAAACAAGGCTGGAGATAGAAAGCTTGTCTTTAAATATGTGGAGGGCTGTCACGTAAAAAGGCTTTAGGCCAACCATTCATGACCCCAAGGAGGAGAATTAAGTTGGCCTGGCTAACTTTAGGAAATGTCTCTTCTTCAGCGATTATGAGCTGATCACTGACTTCCTCAGCACTCATTCTTCTCTGTTGCACACCAATCCTATTTCTAATCGTCAAATTATATTTAGCTCTGTGAGATTGTAAATTCCCAGAAAGGTGAACCAGATCTGATTTGTTAGTCCTATAACACTCAGTGCCTAGCACAGGTGAATGAATGAAAGAATACATGACACATGGATTTGACTTGAATGTGAAAATGTTTTGTTTTGGTTAATCCTCACCTGAGGATATTTTTCCCATTGACTTTTCAGAGAGAGTGGAAGGGGGGGAGAGGGAGAGATAGAGAGAGATAGAAACATCAATGAGAGAGAGCCACATTGACTGGTTGCCTTCCACACACACCCTGACGAGGTATGTGCTCCCAACCCAGGTACATGCCTCCTTAACCAGGAATCAAACCAGTGGCCCTTTGATGCTCTAACTACTGAGAAACACCAGCCAGAGCTAAAATATATTTTTTAGTATAGTTGTGTAGACATTCTCAGGCTCAATCAAGAAGTGGCAATTTTGCCCTAACAGATTTGGCTCAGTGGATAGAGCGTCGGCCTGCGGACTCAGGGTTCCCAGGTTGGATTCATCAAGGGCATGTACCTTGCTTGTGGGCATATAACCAGTAGAGAGTGTGCAGGAGGCAGCTGATGGGTGTTTCTCTCTCATCGATGTTTCTAACTCTCTCTCTCTCTCCTTTCCTCTCTGTAAAAAATCAATAGTGTGCATATATATAAAAGAGTCCCAGATTCAATTGTCAAGGGCATGTACCTTGCTTGCGGGCACATACCCAGTAGGGAATGTGTAGGAAGCAGCTGATCAATGTTTCTCTCTCATTGATGTTTCTAACTCTCTATCCCTCTCCCTTCTTCTCTATAAAAATATCAATAAAATATATATACTTTTAAGTGGCAATTTTTCTTGCATGGGAGGCCCTCACCGAGGGTTAAAATGCAGCCACTTGCCTGGGGCAGGTGGGTGACATAGATGGGATAAAGCATAAGGTAGAGGTGACTGGATTGAATGATTTTTAGCCTCCTTGCCAACCTGAAGCCCTATAATTTCAGTTTTGCTGGGCAAGCTTATGCTTATTATATCATAAATTTCATTTTAGTGCATCAGCCATATTCTGACCCATTTTGGAAAAGTTTAGGAATAACTTCTGTTCAAACTCAAATCTCAGTTGATGATTCCATCTTTCCCTTCTTCTCTCCATACTCCAAAAAGCTGACAATTAATATTTCTGTTTTACTATAAGGATACATAAAACTTCAGAAAACAGTGAGGTGAGGTCAGACTCAGAGATGAGGAAAATATTTGAGACCTTTAGCATCAGCTATGCCAAAAGGAAATGCAGATTGGATAAATGACACAAAGTCATTACCTTTCCATTGCCCTTTCTGTCCATTCCATTTTTTACAAGGGCCCAATTTTCCATAGAAACAGATCAGATTTACAGCAAATACAAAGATTGCATCTTTTATTTATAAGGCAAAAAAACTACCCAACCTATTTTTCATTAAAATTGCGTGTCCTATTATACTGGCCTTCAGAGTATTAGGCAAACATTACATAACGCTTTTGGTTATTCCTGCAGGAACCATTAGGCAAAGATCTTGAAGGTCAATCTCCTCAGCACAGTTCTGAGACTACCAATTCTGACCTTGATTACTTGACTTAGTGATAATGAACTCTTAGAATGAAGTTGTGAGAATGTGAACAAATGCACATGCTCGCTGTCCTTTCTCTATTCTTCCTCCCCTCTAGAGGAACATCTTTTGTGAGAATACCCTGGAGCCAAAATCAATTCATAGACAATTATGAGATTAGGAAAATGTTATTAACAACAAATAATTAAAATACAGATATAACACTTATTTTGTATATTATTACATCCATTAGAAGGTTTTGAAAAAAATCATGTAGGTAAAGTAGAGACAGGGAGTTACTTAAGGAGTAGATAAGGGGAGAAGACTGACAAGTGATACCCTGTTTCCCCGAAAATAAGACAGTGTCTTATATTAATTTTTGCTCCCAAAGATGCGCTAGAATCTTATTTTCAGGGGATGTCTTATTTTTCCATGAGCTAGGTCTTATTTTCGGGGAAACATGGTAGCATGGAGTAGAGAGTACAATTGTTGGGAGGGCACACACACACCAGGCAAAGGGGCTTCGAGAAAGCTCCTTCCCCACAGGACTGATAGGACCATCCTGAGTAAATGTGTCCTGGATAGAGATAATCCTGTCACCTTTAAAAGTTAATGCCTAACTCTTTCTGAAGACTTAGTTCCTTGTTTTAAGGATGAGGAGAACAATAAAGAGGCTTCAGGGAAAATATACACAATTTTCAAATGCTTAACATTTTCCTTCTGTACTATGTCATGCTGGTAATTAAAGACCAGAAAGTATTGTAGGTGCTTGATTTTTAATTCATTCTGTATATTCTTTTTTTATTATTTAAAAATTTTATTTATTGGGGTGACAGTTCACAAAACCATACAGGTTTTAAGTGTACAACTCAATAAAACATTATCTGCACAGGCAGTCTCTTCTCCTCCCCATTTCTCCCCCTTTGCCCACCAAACCACCCTCTTTTTCCTCTGGCTATCACCACACTGTTATCTGTGTCTATGTAAATGTATACACACACACACACACACACACACACACACACACACACACACACCATTATGCTTTCTGTAGTTTTCAGCAAACCCTCTCAAATAATGTGGTCATTCCTAGATTTAGTATAACTTCAAACATGTTTGAGGGAAAATATACATGTGAAAGTAGTATGCCTATGCTAAAGAACAATTAAAATGGCGTACTTTTCAGACCAGTGCTTCTCAAGCTTTAATGGGCACACAGATCACCTGAGATCTTGCTAACACACAGATTTTAACCTAGTAGGTCTAGGGCAGGCCTATGAGTCTGCATTTCTATTAAGTTCTCAGGTAATGCTGGTCCACAGACCATACTTTGCAGGTTTTAGACCAACACATGCAAATCTGGCTTTGGCAGGAAATCTGTGCCCTCAAGTTCATTCTCACTTTTAATCCCCGCCTCCCCCGAACCCTGAGTTCCTGCATTACTTCTTGTTTCACTGGCATGAGAAAATTTTAGGACCAAGCAGAGTGGGTACAAAAGAAAAGAAAATATTCTAAAATATCATCTCAAGTAGAGCAATAGTAAGATTTTAAGTTGTCTCAAGGGTAGAGACATAATTTTTGATATGCATGAATTATACATACTTCATGCAAATCATTGAACAAATACACAGTGGCCTTCTATTTGTTTCCATAAATGAAGCCCTGTCTGCATAGCTTACAGGAAGTTGATTTAATTAATGCACAACACACCACCTCATTGTTCAAGTATCTCTAGAGAGTGAGGCGATCAAGTAATTCAAGTTTTCCAGATAACTGACGTTTATCTTTTTAAATTTCCAAGTATATTTATTTTAGTGATTTTTAACCAAAATCTTTCTGGAACTAAGATATTCAAGGCTTGTTAGATACAAAAAACAAAGTTTAACATATCTACAATTATCCAGGGCCCACTATGATTATTCTGTGGCATCATATAACAATGCTATAGGAACCACACAGGTCTAGGTGGGCTGTGTGCTCTTACACAGTAGAGTCTGAAACACACTTTGAGGATCTCTAAGCCTATTTGGAGGAAAGTTCTGTCTCCTTCCTCCAAGATCAGCTGCCACTTCATACTACTCTCTGACTGCCCTCCAATTACAATTTTTAATCCGCTGCTTTATTTTTCGCGTAATACTACTGGAAAGATTCAGAGACTGGCATTTCCCTCATGTTTTCAATGCAGGAGCTCTCTTTCAGGGCTTTGGAATAGTGGTTACCTAAATCAGTACAATCATTTCAACTTAAAGAAATCATGCAAGTTAATCCCCTTTAAATACCTCTTACTATTACTGATACTCACTGATCCCGGTGTCCTTACAGTACTGGACCAAGAACTGTCCCATGACTCTTAGTAGATGATTATATTCTTGGACGTTGAGAAATTCCTGCTTATTATGAGATGGTTCCATGATCTCCAAAGGTATATTGACAATCCCAATCACACCTGCACCAAGCCTAGGAAAATATAGACATATAGAAGTTTGGGGAGAATATTTTAGAAAAAAAAAATTAGCTAAGGGGGGGGGGGAAGCAAATATAATCAGGATTTTTAATTTTTTTCCCAAAAATAAATTAGCTCACTTGGTCTGAAACATGCCAAAATTTAACAAGTTATTTAACAATGTATTTTGTTACACAGATCTATGATGATCCCAGGTATATTTGGTCTCATAATACAAAATGGTTTTAGTACATCATTACTGAATTAATACGCATCCTTTGCCAAACCTACCACCTTACATGGGGAGTCAGGGTGGGTGGGAAAAGAAGGTCTCTTAGCATTAACCACCACTAAGAATGCTTTGCTGCAAGAAACTAATGAGAATGGCCACAAGTAACTTTCTTCATCCTCATTTCATCTGTCAAGTTGGATTTCTCATCATTGCAAAAGTCCAAAGGGCACATAATGGCTGGACTATTCCTGAGAGTAACGGGCATCTGCCTGTTAGTCTTATGGATAAACTCAATTTTCCCCCTACATTTTTAGCTGTAACTAGGATATCCTACTTAAGTGATATAACCTGTTCTGGGGAAAAGTATCCTGACTCTTAACTCTTTAGGAACCACACAATAACCTTTCCCAATTTGGGGCCTTATTAAGTTTTTCATCACTTCCCCCTCCCACTGAGCCTTTCCTTCACTATTGATTGTGTAAGTCTAAATTAGGGCATCATTTCTTCCGGGAAGCCTGACCGATTTGGTTATTGCCCCTCCTAGATGGTCTTTTAAACCTGATGCTTGCCTCTAGCCTATATTCATTCATTCATTCATTCATTCATTCAAGCTGAGCACCTGGCTCTATTCCAGGAACTAGAAATAGAGTAGAACAAAAAATGTCGCAGCTTATGAAGTTTCTCTGCTATTGAAAGGTGACAAGGAATGATGCTAATAAAACCATCAATGTACAAAATCACTTCAGATGGTGATAAGCGAGCTGAGGAAAATAATGCAGGTGCTGTAATATGTAAAATGTGATAGATAGCCATAGTTGGTTTGGCTCAGTGGATAGAGCGTTGGCCTGCAAACTGAAGGGTCGCAGGTTCGATTCTGGTTAAGGACACATGCCCAGGTTGCAGGCTCAATCACCAGTGTGGGGCATGCAGGAGGCAGCCAATCAATGGTTCTCTGTCATCATTGATGTTTCTATCTCTCTCTCCTTCTCCCTTCCTCTCTGAAATCAATATAAATATACATAAGTGATAGATATGTGAGGGGAGTAGTGATGACAGGGGCTAATTTTATTTAGGCAGTCCAGGAAGACTTTCCTGAGGAGGAGACTTTAGGCCTGGTGCTCAGTGGCATGCTAGGACCATCAGTAAGATCTAAAGACAAAAGGCTCTAGGCAGAGGAAATGGCAAGTGCCAAGGACGTATGGCAGGAGCGAGCTTAGGATGTCTGAGAAACAGCAAGTTGGGTGCTGTGAGGGGAATGCAATGAGAGGGTGTGCATGGGTGGGGCAGGGTGTTACAAGGCCAGGCAGAGACCAGATCACTGGAAAACCATGGCAACTACCTCTATTCTGCATGCATTGGGGTTTTAAGCAAGACAGTAAATTAACTTAGTTTTAAAAGATCATTCTTGCTATTTCCATACAATATGAAAAATACATATTTATGCACTCATCCCTTTCGCTGGACCATAAGTTCCTCAGCAAGTGGTAGTAGGTCTTCCCCATCCTGTCTGCAGACCTTAGCTCAATGCCTGGCCCGCAGAATACTGCAATGTAAGTGCTTGTTAAGTGAACATATGAATGAATTGCTAATTCCTTGAGAGTGCGGAAGCAAGATGAAAAATTTCCCCCGAGCCATTCTACTGGTCACGGTTGTCTTGTCTGTCTCTGTGCTTCCCTATGGTCTCTTTTCAAGACTTTACATAATTCATGACAACAGCTTGTGGAGTTTCAGCCCATTGGGCAAGCACCAGACTGTATTACTTCGGAATTCAAATAGGCTGCAGTGTTAAAAAATACATGCTCATGTTAGCAAGAACCTATACATAAAGGGGCTACACAGTTGCTTTGTAAGACTATGGAACCTATACCTGAAGGGGTTACGAGCTGCTTGGTAAAACTATGAATTTTTTTTCTAAAATTTCTTTAACGTGCCTGCATTGCTTTTTACTTGGTAACATACTAAAGCCTTAATTTGAGTAAATGGCGCAAAGAATGGTAAAACATCAAGTTGCTCAGAAAAGGCACTGAAAACATTTCCAAAAGTGAGCTTCTTCCTTGGAGTAGGCACACAGCTCCACTGGTGTAAATGAGGCAGATTAATGGCTGTGCAAGGATAGGAAGGGAGAACAGAGGATATGACACCTGCTCCAATTATGTTTAATCACTCATCCAACTCCGCAGACAGAATCACACTGCAGCCTCCTTCCTCCTGCCTATGCTTCTGAAAACAAAGCATACTTACAAGGACTTCAGTTTCAACTGTGGGCCCACTTTTTCATGCATCTTGATCAAGCGGTTATTACTGTAAATGAACATCCCAGCGTGGTTTCGGTTTTCGATGTTCACTCCAAAGAATAGAGAGAGTGTCCTTGCTGTTTTTAATTGTCTAGCATTATATTTAGGAAAGTTAAAGATATTTTTATTAAGTAAAATATACAGTTTATAAAAATGTGAATAATTAAACTCAGAGGGCAACTATTAAAGGAATTATATATAACATATCCAGGTACTTTGCAAAACCAAGTGAGTGCACTAAACATCCCTGCATAGCCATGTATTCTGCATAAATATAATGGCCAATAGCCATGCCAGGCAAACAGAAGCATTCCTAGATTCAAAAGCAAGTTTGCCAATAAGGACTAGAAAATGCCATATAGTTGTAAAATGTTAACTGACCTAATTGCAGCACTTCTGAAAACTGATGACTTGACTATTTTTAAATGCAGGTATTTTTTACATTGGATGTGATTTCTAACGCCTAGCATGTTCTCAAGCCTCCAAGTATACTACATAGGAAAGTGCCAAAAGAGATCCTTTACCTTTCTTTTTTCCAAAATCAAAGGTAAATGGAAGTTAATATAGCAAATGTAGGCAGATTATGAGTTCCTGCTTTTCTAACTCTGTCCTGCAATACTGTGTTTTTCTTGACTTTTCTATTAAAAGGGTAAGATGGAAATTGAGACAAAGCAGAATGTATTATAGTAGAAACAATTGGAGTAACAGAAGGCCGTGTGGAGCTATGAAAAGTGGCTGGCTATAAGAACCAGAAAGATGGACCTGGCTTCAAATACAAAAATACAAGCCCGTCTTTGTAAGAACCACGTGCTAACTGTGATGTGTCACTTCAACTTTCTGTCTCATCTAAGTAATGGAAGAAAACACCTCTCTAGCCACATGGAATGCCATGAAGACTAAAGGAGATAATGTCAAATATAAACCTGGAATGCATTAGGTGCTTAGCAAATGTTTTCTTTTCCCAAGAATGACTGCAAATATAATTCTTCCCCTCCACCCATCCTGTAGTTCCTTTCATGCCACAAAAACAGCTTTTTGTTTTCAAATTCATGCCCACCAGCTATTACAACCTATATCAGATACTTACTGGACTGATTAAATGTATCATTAAAGGACGATAATAAAGTTCTATCAGTTCTTCCATGGGATATGATATGAGTACATCAGACTTTCTGAGGAAGTATTAATATGGGTTCATAATTATGTGTTTTTAAATGCATGTACATGTAGGGTTAAATATATGTGGATCAAACTTTCAAAAGTGTCTACTCAATAATTAGACCCCCATTCTTTGACAAAAAAGAACACAATGTAAGGAACCCCAAAACAGGGTGTTACAGGATATGACAGTCACTCCTTGATATTAAGTGGCATACTGATTGCCTTCAAAGTTTTTTTTTTTTAAAGCGTTTTGCTGTAAAGATTTCACACCAACTGGCTTTATTATTAATAAAATATAGGTTGGTTACATTTCCTGCATATCATTGTGACTTCAAACAAGCCATCAAACAGCTTTTTCTTCCTGAAGACTTTAAAGAGGCCTTTGCTTTTCAATGAAGATTTCTCTGACATTCACTTAACATTTATTTTGATAAATGCATAATTAACTTTTCAAATTTAAGGTTTGGAGGAAAGTGATGGTTGTATAGCATTTCATGGTTCACAACAAAATAATGCTAAAAATTAGTAATATTTCCCTAAAAAACTTGTTTCTCAAAGTTAATGCAGTTTTCAAAATCTGACCTTACTTGAAGAACAATTATTTTCAGTTTTACTTGTGAAACACCTGAGTCAACCTTACAAATGTCAATAATGGTGTTGTAATATATACAATAATATAGGCTTGCTGCGGGAAAGCAATCGCTGTTTCACTCAGAGAGAGATGTGGACAGGAAGCCAGGAAGGCTGGTCAACAACCTTAATTGCTCTAACCACTCACTGTTCAGTTGAAACATTGTTAGCTGAAGCAGCCTCCACCTTTGCTTGTCCTATGTTAATTTCTGTTATTGGAATTTCCTGCCTAAGGGCTATAGATGTTTCCCATAGTCTCAATAAAAGGGATAGCAAGGCTAGAGCAGTGTGTAGTCCTCCCACTGGAGGTGGGCTCCCACTTGGCCCCCAATATCACCAAATTAATACTTTTCTAGTCTCTCTTCATTTGTGTGCAGCCCTCTCCAGAACCCGAACCCTGAACCACGTGGGATGTGAAAGGGGTTCCAACAGCTTGCAATTTTTATCTTAACTATGTATAAGTGATGAATTTACTTGAAAGATTTTCTATCATAAATTTTCATCAGTACCAGCAGAGGGAAGAAACGGGACCAACTCTCCAGAGTTTAAATGGCAAAGGACACCAGGAACATGAAGTTGTCAACTGATCCCCTGGGCAGTTCACTTCTTCATCTGATCATACACTGAACTAACTTTTTACTCAGTATTCAGAAATTTTAACATTATGTGAACGTATGTGTAGATGCAAATATATACTTTATAAATACTTTAGATTGATTATGTTGGTTGGGGGAATTTGATGCTTAATATCATAAGATGTCACTGAGTATGTTGGTTGGGGGAATTTGATGCTTAATATCATAAGATGTCACAGGTTGAGAAAGAGAACTTGTCACAAAAACCACCAAATCTGACTTACTCAGAAATCAGAATTTGTTTTTAAAATAGCACCACAGATTCTGGCAAACAGAAAATCATATGTCTTACCTCTGTTTCTCTTTAAGAATCTTACGCTTTGCTTCCACATCTTCCAAAGCTTTCTGTAATGCGTCCTGGAGAAGTACATTTGGTTAGGAGAGAACATTATGCCACTAGATTAACGAAAACTGATCTGATATTTATTATCCTATTCTACAAATGTTTCACAAGGGAAACAGTAATAGGTCACATTGCCTAATGCAATATTTCCACAGTAGATACTCAATAAATACTTGATAAATGACTAAGTTTTAATAGCTAAGAAGACAACCTAAATCCCAGCCCGCAGTTCTCATCTTGCACTAATTCCGATGTCCTTTCTGCCTTTCAGAGAAAGGGCTATTGCTCCCTGTAAGCCACAGAGGTTTTTCTCTTAAACTTCCTGACAGCTCAGGAAAGTCATTCAACGTATGGAGGCTCTGGCTTTCATCTGTGAGAACAGAAAATGCTGAATCACTCCATCAATCACTAAGGCTTCTCTCAGGAAAAAAAAATCATGAGTGAAAAACTTTGTTAGACCTGAAACCGATATTATTTTATTAACCAATGTCAGTCACCCCAATAAATTCAATAAAAAAGAAAAAAAATTATGTGAAGGAAATGTTTCCTTCATATAAAGTTCCCGATACTCCCTCAACTTTCCTCTTAGGATATCCCCTCTAGGCTTTCTCCCTCTCAGTGTGTCTCAGTACCAGCCCCTTCTGTCTGTCTTCTCTTTTATTTGATATATTTGGCTCATTCACTGCCCTATCTCTAATACACTCCCTCTAACCAGACAGAAAAAAATGCATTATTATTTCACAATTAAGAATAGAACTTTTAACATGCTCCATCCACCTGATGTGAAAAATGGACATCTCATCTGATGTGTATACTTCTGATTGAACATTATTTTCACTGACTTCAAAGTAAAAAAAAAGTAAATGGCTGGTATTTCATTAAACTTCAAATTCAACCACTCAACTGCCAAGAGGAATTTTAGAGGTCAAATGCAGAGGTCATTTGCTTTGCTCTCTTCTCTGCTTTAAATGAACCAGTGAGCATCAGAGCAACAAAGTGAGCTGGTCAAAGACTTCCCTGCTCTTCCAGTCCGCACTGAGAGCACAGGACAAAGAGGCAGTGAGAGGTGACAGGTTAAGGCAACAAGAAAGCAAGGTCCTGACCCATTAGAAAGTCTGTTTCTCTGGTTTCCCAAATACATAAAACCAAGGAAACTTATTTCTTAGAAACAAAATGACAAATGATTAAACTTTTAAGTTGATAGCAAGATAGGTCTAGCTTTAATTTAAAAAAAATAATAAGTGGGGGTGGGAGGGCAAAGTAACAGAATTTGGGGGAAACCATGGATAGCTTTGGGGAATGACCAGGAGCCACTCTTTGATTTAATTCCCAGTCATGACCATTAGACATGAGAACTCCATCAGATACAGCCCTGGTCTTTACATGCTTTAGGGCAAATCTTGGAAAGAAATCATACACTGAGTCCGTAGAAGAGAATTAAGGAAAGATGAAATAAAACCTTTTTTTTTCCCCTCCAGAAACCTACTATCCCTTTGTATGCAAGCAAATAAGTAGTGTAATGATTCACCATGCTAGAAAGCTTTGTATATTTTTGGTAAAAGTTGGAAAACTTAAATTCATGTCTTGCAGCAATATTGTTTTCTCTTAGTTTCCATGCATTATAATTAATAACAATAGTTCTTTATAACCTATCTCACTCATGGGTATACTGCAAGAATTACAGAGAATGTTTATGAACTGTGTGGAACACCTCATACGAGAGCAGCTTTGTGAGCTGGAAGCACTGTTATTAATATTCATAATTACAGCACATAATTCCCAACTCTAAAAAGAAGGATTGTGTATTAGTCTTCTCCCTGCTCTGCCCATTTATTTAGGTCCATAGGGAGCTATGATTTGAAAAGATATTTTCAAGAAGATTTGATAAGTTAGCTTTTGTCTGCTTTTCATTCTTTCCTCCTATTCCTTTTCTTTTCATTTTGAAGAAATAAGTTGTGACTCTCTTCCCAACTGTTCTGAATTCACCCCACATTTTGTTCATCTTTGCTCTGTCTCAGCCTTCCCCCACTTGCTGAGTTTTGTCTCGTTTCTCTCCACTCGTCTATTCTATTTACCTAAATTCAAATTAACTTAAGACACCTGAGCTTGTCTGCATTTAAAAATTTAGGGAGTAAATTACAAGAGATAACTGTGAACAGGAAAAAGCAAAGGACACTGTTTGCCATTTAAGTGTGTCATACCTTGGCAGGAGAAGACAAGGGAGTTCTATCAGGCTGGTTGACCCTAATTCGAGCATCTTTCAATACGAGTTCAGCTAGAAGCAGAAGCAATGTAATTACACCATGAAATTCTTTCAAGCAATTTTCAGTGAGTATTCTACATACTTACATAGATATATAACCATGACCAGGGAGAGATTACAAATAATCACCTAAAAAAATCCTACATTCCTTCCACAGCTCTTACACATTCTAAGTGTAGGGAGTGTACTTCCTCTTAGACATGGCAATTTAAAGGGCAAAAACACATACATATAAACTCAAAAGTCACAACTGGCTGTTGGCTGACTGAAAACTATCTAAAATCCATAAAATACGGATGTAAAGCTACTCCTCCCTCAGCACCACTGGGAAACGATGGTTCCGTCCTCACTGTGAAGAGAATCGAATGTGTACAGCTTTCCTCCCTAAAAAGGATGCAGCACTAATCTCTGAAACTATCTAGCTCAGCATCAGTGACAACAAGGGTTCCTAAAATAGACCCATCCAGTTCCACTTGGATCATACTTAAAATAATAAATAATAATAATTTAACAGAGATGGGAAAATGTGTATATAATTCCTTAGAGGAAGAAACTACATTTAATTAATTATGGCTATTCCTACAATGCCTAGAGCAGCATGTATCTTAGAATATATGCACAATTAATGTTTGTAAAATGAATGAACAATAATAAGGTAAGCCATAGATAGTTATATACCAATATTTACTGCTTCTTCTGCCTTTTTAACTTCATTTTTAAATGCTCCTTTAAAAGAAGATGTGATATACAGATACTTTCTGAAAAATAAAAAATAACATAATCAAGTCAGATTATCATTTTAAAGTATACTACAAAAATATTCGTTAAGAACACTATATACTCCAGAGATACATCATTATTAAGAAAAACTATAGAGTAAGTTGCATCCAGATGATAAATAAGAAAACTTTATGCCTAAAAAGAAACTCCTTACCATTTAGTACTTGAAAATTTTGCTTTCTTATTGAATTTATTGGGGTGACATTAGTTAATAAATTATATAGGTTTTGTTGTACAAGTCTATAACACATCATCCGTATATTGTATTGTGTGTTCACCAACCCAAGTCAAGTCTCCTTCCATCACCATTTATCCCCACCCCCCCAAGCCCTCTTCTACCTCCCTCCTCCACCTTTCATTCTGGCAATCACTATACTGTTGTGTCAAAGAGGTTGTTTTTTTTCCTTAATCCTTTCATCTTTTTAACCCACCCTGCAAAACCCCTCACCTCTGACTACTGTCAGTGTGTTATCTGTGTCTGAGTCTGTTTCTAAATATTTGGTTTGTTAGTTTATTTTGTTCATTAGATTCCACATATAAGTGAAAATATATAAGCCAGCCAGAGAAAGATAAGTATCATATGATTTCACTTATATGTGGAATTTAATGAACAAACTGGACTAACGAGCAAAATAGAGACAGACTCATAGACAGAGAGCAGGTAGACAGCTCTGGTGAGGAGGGATGCTGGGGTGGGATTGAGCAAAGAACAAATAAGAGAAAAAACTCATGGAAGCAGGCAATGGTGCAGTAATTGTGGGGGAGAGGGAGATAGATAGAGATGGAAGAGGATGTAGGGAGGATAAGTAGTGATGGAAATAAAATATAAATAAAATGTAAAATAAAATAAAAAAATAAAAATAAAATAAGAAAAAAAATGGTGGGAAAACTCAGACACAGACAACAGTATGGTGATTACCAGAGAAAAAGGGGGGCTGGGGAGTTTGAAGAGGATAAAAGGGGAATAAACAGTGACAGAAGAATACTTGACTGGGATAATGAACACACAATTTCATAAAATTACAAACCTGACAACAATACAAATTTATTAAGCAACTAGGGTGTGCCCAGTGCACAAATTTGTGCACCTTGCAAGGAATTGTGAGCTGCTGGGCTGCAGTGGGCACAGGAGTGGGTCTCGGCTCATCCTCCATGCCTCCACCTGGCCCCTCCCACCATGGCCCCTGCTCCCCACTCTGCCCGCAGCCCCACTCCCACTGCTGCTGCTCCCACATGCTGACAGTGCAGGCCCCGCTTGCACTCACTGACTGCGTGGAGTGATTGGGGCCAGTGCCACCAGCAAGTGCGAGTGGAGCCAGCACTGTCAGTGGGTATAAGCAGTGGCTACTGTCTCGATTACCCCTAAGGAGCAGGGGAAGATGGAGAAACCCTCAGGGGCGATGGAGCTGTCACCAGCAGGGGGTGAGAGGCAACTGATGGCCCCAATTGCCCCTCAAGGGCAGGTGGAGGTGGAGAAGTCCTGAGGGGTGATTGGGGCCAGCAGCCTCCACTCCCACTCATTGAGGTGCCAAGAGATCAGGGCCAGCCCTGGGCACCAGCAATGGGTGTGAGCTGTAGCTCTGGCACAGCAGTGGGTGCAAGTGTGGCTGAGGCCGGCAGCAGGAACCATGGCACATGGGAGCAAAGAATTTTCAGTAATCACCAGAGGCTCACCCCGATGACAGTGACCAGGGCCCCACCTTGGTCTGGCACCCCTGCTCAGCTGCTCCCAATATGGCTGACACCCACCATATTCCACATGTGCCCCCTGATGGTCAGCACACATCATAGAAACTAGTTGTTCAGTTGTTCCACCATTCAGTCTATTCGCATATTAGGATTTTATATATATATAGATGTCACCCCATTAAATTCAATAATAATAATAAAATAAAGTATTAATTTCAATAAATAAATAAATAATTTAAAAATTCTGCCCACACAAGTGGTCACTTATACATGCAAAATAGGATAATTTTCTTATAAAGGAAAATATCTATGCAACTGCTCCATTCTCAAAGTTTCTATCGATAGTTAATACACATAAACCTCTCATCCAGATCAGCACTGACACTGAATTAACTGGAGTCTCTAAAACTCCAGTCATCTTTAACTGAAATGCTGAGAAACACTTATTATCATTTTAAGCTACTCAATCATATTTTCTACTTTATTACCACTGCTTTAATAAGAGCAAAGACACTCTAGAACAATCAAGGAGCTGGAAAATATATATACCTATAAACTCCAGTTCAAAGGGAGCAAAGTATAGGTGAGGAAAGCATTGTAGAATATAATGTTCTCTGAATGAAGTTGAAACTGTGTATCTCTATATAGAGGCTTCTTGGAACCCAGGATTTTAAATATTGACTTAAGTCATCATGGAGAGAAAATTCCAGAACGATATTTGGTTTGATAATGCTCAAACTGCTATATACCTCATTGTATAACTTTTGCCTTATACCTCAGACTTAGTACTTTCAGGTTTAGAAAGGCATCACATTTTCAGCAAGAGTTAGGTAAAAACCTATAGGTCATTTCTGGAAACCATATTATCTTAAGACAAAAAAGGGAGGTATTGGCTCAGGTAGAGGAGAGAGTCTAAATCTATGTGCTTCAGGTACAGGTAATAGATGGTCCATGTGCCAAATTGGACCAGTCAGCTCCTTTGTGGTATAACCTAAGACCTAAGAATGATTTTTCCACTGTAAAAATAATTAATTAATTAATTAATTAATTAATGAAATTCAAGCTGAAACCAGTTTGGCTCAGTGGATTGAGCATCAGCCTGCGGACTGAAAGGTACCGGGTTCAATTCCGATCAAGGGCATGTACCTTGGTTGCCGGCACATCCCCAGCAGGGGGTGTGCAAGAGGCAGCTGATTGATGATTCTCTCTCATCGATGTTTCTAATTCTCTATCCCTCTCTCTTCCTCTCTGTAAAAAAATCAATAAAATATATATATTTTTAAATTAAATATATATATAAAAGATATGCAAATGAGGCTGAGTGTAACCAGAGATTTACTATCAGACCCTTTACAGAAAATGTTTGACAACCCCTGTAAGCTATGCTAATAGCAATGGATTTTAAGTGATAGCTTAATCTACAATTGCTTTTGTATATTCTAACTTTATGTACACAGTAATGCAATTTTTATCAACAGGTCACATGTAGCTTAAATATTGTCAGCTGGAGTCTGTTGACTCTCTTCCATTATCTCAATAGCAGCAGTGCTGATGTACTGAAGACAGAACACCTTCATGATAAAGCAACTGCTGGTAAGAGCTGGACAGCTTGGACCCCATCTACCTGGGTAAAAAGTCTAGTATTATCCCTCCTAGTGTGTAAGACTGGGCAAATTATTTTGTTTTCTGTGATTTCATTTCCTTATCTGTAAGAAAATGATAGTTGAATGATAATAATGGTATCTATCACAAAAGCTGTCATGAGAACTAACGGTGTCAATAGAGCTAAAGAACTTAGAACAATGCTGGTTTGGAATAAGTCAGTGATTTTTTTATCAGGTGTGCTGTAAGAATTTTTAAAACATGCGACACCTGGGTATTTAGCCAGGGGCACTGACCTCTTTTCCCTTCGATTGTCAAATTTTTAAAAATGACAACAGCTAACACAATAGCCTTCAGTGTAAATGAATCAAAAGTATATTTTTTTTGGTCAGATTGGCAAAAAATATTTTGTGTGTGTGTGTTGCGGAATTTTAGTAATTAGTTTATGGGTGCCATGAGATAAAAAAGGTTGAAAATTGCTGGAGTAAGTATTCAATATGTTATTATCTATAATAATAAAGGCATAATATGACAATTAGACTGGACAACCTCCTGGGTGCCAGAGGGAAGCTGGTGCTGGCAGCCGGGGGAAGGAGGCCTACTCTTGCACCAATTTCATGCATTGGGCCTTTAGATATCTAATGAAAACACATTTCAAGTACATACTCCCTCAATGTGTGTTGAGAGGAAAAAAATGCACTGGGCATGAGGAAATGAAATGAGTAGCTGGATAAATTTAAGAATCTGAAGTATTTGTAGAAGTCTGCCCAGGTACCTATATTAAAATGCTTAATGTTAAAAATAACTAAATGTCATCCTATATTCATCCAATTCACTGGTTTCATGAACAATTCAGTGAGAGGTGGGAAGCATCCCTAAGACATGAAAAGACTGTCCCAGAAAACCAGTGTTGCAGAGTCTCCACGAGCAGGCCATAAACTTGATGTCCCTGAAAACCTTAAAAAGGACCATGCTGCTCCAGAGAGCGCAGGTGACTCCACTTCCATGAATTCGGCTCATTTCAGTATTACTGGTCTATGGCAAAGCTGTGTTAATGAAAAATGAAGATCTTCCAACAGATAGTTTGGCTCTGCCTGCCTTAAAGAGCTTTCAAAAATGACCATTTTATGTCCATTTTGCCCTTATATGCAGAGATTTAACATCTATATAAATCTGAGAGCTATTTATCTACTAAAGTTAAAGAATTCAAAGCCAATGGAAATCAGTAATATCTGTTACCTAAGATCAAGTACGATAGCCATACATTAACTTGTCTGTATTATATAAACAATATTTAAGACTCCAAGAATTACAGACTTACAGAATTTTTAAGTTGAAAGAGACCTTAGAAATCACCTAGCTGAAACTCTTCCAAAGGTAATAATGGATTTAAACAACAATCTAGAGTCTAGACTCTTCTAGGGGCAAAGTTGTGCTCATCTTCCACTGCCAAAGAGCATGAACTGCATTAATCTCATGGCATACCATGGCCCATTCTGAGCTGTTATACCTCAGGCCACGTGCATCTGGGGAAACTAAATGTGCCATCCTGGACACACTGGATTTCATATTCTTGACATTACATCTAGAAACTGCATATTTGAAAGTTACATAGTTAAGCTGCATATTCGAAAGTTGCTATGATAGTAGATCTTAAAAGTTCTCATCACAAGAAAAAAATTTTGAAACTATATTTGGTGATAGATATTATCTAGATTTACTATAGTAGTAAAAAAGGTTTATGCTAAAATATTAAATATAAATAAACTCAATGTGTATTTATAAATATATCCATTCTTTATATAAAATATATACACATAGAAGTACATGATTCAATAATTCAAATATATTGAGTAAATAAAAATTATAAATGAACTGTGATTTTTTTTTATGGGAACTATCATAAGCAAAGCAACTAAGATTCATTCAAGTACAAACCAAATTCTTACTTGAGGTGCTTATCTAACTTAGAGAGTTCACTGCAGTGTTTTGTTATTATGGGCAAATATATATTACACATGATTACTCTTTAGCAAACCTTCTACAATACAGTTTAAATTTTATTTACATCTAGAGGCCCGGTGCACGAAATTCATGCATGGGATGGGGAGGGTAGGTCTCTCAGCCAGGCTTGCACCCTCTCTAATCCAGGACCCATCAGGGGATGTCCAACTGCTAGTTTAGGCCCAATGCTGCAGGATAGGGCCTAAACTAGCAGTTGGACATCCCTCTCACAATCCAGGACTGCTGGCTCTTAACTGCTCGCCTAGCTCCCTGCCTGATTGCCCCTAATCGCGCCTCTGCCTGCCAGCCTGATTGTCCCTCACCACCTCTGCTTCAGCCCCCACTACCGTGGTTTATCCAGTCTAATTAGCATATTAGCCTTTTATTAGTATAGCTAGCAAAAATCTTACTGTCAAACTGTAAAGTCCTGCTATCAGATTATAGAAATTTTACAACCAAATCACCTTAACAATTTTGGATAGGATGGCATATTGATTTTATAAATAAAAACTATATGAAGATAATTAAAGGAAGTTGAGTTACCTGGGTGTATAGAGGCAATGATATAGGTGTTTTGTTTTGACTTTTTTGGCCTGAATAAATATTCTCATCCAAGGGTCAAAATACAGAACAGAGGTGTAGGCTCTGAATGACCATCTCTCTGGGAAACTGTAATGGAAAACATCAAAGGCTATTAGAAGATGCAATAAGGACACATATTTTCAGAAGATAATAAAATCAGACTATCAGGTTATGATAGTTACTCCTAGCAGCCTCAGGAACTTTTCTTCTAAATCTAATGACACAGCAATCTTGCAACACTCGTGACTTCATTAATCAGACTTCTTTACAAATAAGTGGTTGAATCATGAATACTAGGTTTTCTTTTTCTTCTCACATGTAATTAAAAGACAACTGACTGATTTTAATAAAAATGATAACAACAACAACAAAAAGCAGACCTCTAAGGACAAAGGCTTATTTAAATAATCTACACTTTTATTAGAACTGAACTTTTGTTTGCAAATAACTCTTTCCAAGTATACTTACATCAACAGTATAAAATATACTTTCCATTAAAGCTATTGGCCCAGAAGGACAAAACCAAGCCAAATAAACAAAACTATCCCCCTGCTCCAACCTAACAAAAAGAATCTAGGCCTACATGAATAAAAATATTTCCATGAAACTATTTCAGAGAAATACAGTAAAAATATTTCATTTGCTTTGAAAATTATGAACTAGAAACACAAAACTTCATTCTGCAAGTATAATAAGTATTAAAATAAATGTTTATGTCCAAGCAAGGGGAGGAATTTGATGATGTGGTAAGTTGAAAAAGAGGAGAAAAGATAAAAATAAAGGAGGGGAAGACAATAAAATGGGGGCAGAAACTATGTAAAATAGCCTATGCTGAGAAATCACAGTGTTGCTGCATACTAACTGCAGGGAGCTTCTATATTAAAGTCCATTTATGAACTGTACATCTCCTCCAATTAGACAAGAGCAAGCTCAGCCATATGTCAGAAGTAGTGCCCTTTATCTTCTGGGTCCCAGGAAGGGCTACACTGAAGGGCTTCCAAGGCCAAATAGAAAGCAGAGAGCAGTAACCCCATCAATTTTACAATCCTACCTCAGTCCAACGGGAGCAAAGATGATGGGAAAGAAATATAAAACCTATCGCAGGGAGACTGCTCAATGGGGTCACACTAATGGCAGTTACACTGTAAGAAAGAACAGAGCTCTCCAAAAAATTTACAAAAATTAGATGAACTCCATAAGAAATCTAAGGATTTCCTGGTTGCTAGTACCAGGTAAGTTACTTCAGCAGGATCTGACGTTTATTAAAGAGCCAGGAATTTCTTTGAATTGTTAAAAAAAAAAAAAAAAAGAAATTATTTGAAAGTCAGTCTTGAGTAAAGGTTTCCAATATAAATTATAAAAAAGGATCTAGTCCATGGCTATTATTCTATAAATATCATTGCATTTTTATTGAGACAAGAGGTTGTCTGTATTTGGGTATAGCACTACAATAATGTGATTGACGTTAGTATACCAGGAGCTGCACAATCAACTAAATCTTCTTCTGTTCAATGAAAAAAGTCACCTCGGGACACTATAAATGTTTTGAGGACTTTTACCATTATTCAAATACTTTCCGGATCTTCTGATTTGAAATTGCCCTTAGATATAATATACCTTTCTTTTGACTGTCCTAAAAGCAAGCACATCTCTGTCATTTGGAGATAAGAAAAAAGTAATTCAGAGCCAAGTTTGAGAATTAAAGAAATATAATGGGAGATCAAATTGCATTAGACAAGTTTTGGTTAAAATAAAATGTATACAAATCCAAACAAGGACACTAATACTTCCGCCTCTTGTAAGGTCAATTATCTATATATATAAAAGCCTAAGCGACCAAACGATGAAATATCTGAATGACCAGTTGACCTATCATTATAAAGTGCACTGACCACTAGGGAGCAGACACTCAATGCAGGAGCTGCCCCTTGGTGGTCAGTGCCCTCCCATAGCCAACTTCCTGTGGCTGGCCAACATCCCATGGTCCCTCTCCCCCCACCAGCCAGCCCCAATCAGCCCCAATTGCTGGCCAGGCCTAGGGACCCCACCCGCATATGAATTCATGCACCAAGCTTCTAGATTCACTTAATAAATATTCATCGTATCTGTATTGGGGATCCTCAGGAACCTCCTCTGTGTTAGGAGAATTGCTAGAAGGTCTCATGGGACTTACCATATAATGGTACTCATGACTAAGATTGATCACAGTGATGAGTAGGATATACAGTGGATGATAGGGGGAAGAGATGTGGAATCTGGAAGAAGCCATGTGCAGCTTTCATTTGGCCTCTCCTTCTCATGAAAGGTCACACAAAACATACTCTTTCCCCAGCTATGAAGGTGCAGGAACATGTATGTCATGTTTCTGCCCAACGAAGCCCATCACAGACTCAGCAACCAATGTTTCCATTGGGAGCTGGTCACATAGGCACCCTCTGCCTAGCATGTATCAAATTCCAAAGTCCCAGAAAGGAAGTAAATTTTCAGTAAGAACCATATTGTTTGCATAGTCTAGACACATTGTGCCACCCTTCTGTTAGGAAAGGTGTGTATCAGTGTAGGGAACTGTATATCGTCCAAGTTCCCAGAAGCCCACCAAAGACCAATCTTGCAAGCAAGACACAATGAATAGAAACCTTCCCCATTAACCCTTTCTACACACATGCGAACTTTCAAAGTTCCTTTTTATCTGTGATAATCAGAATAGCAATGCCTCTTATGCTACTGTGATATCTATGATTTTTTTTTTAAAAAGAAGGTGAACTATAAAATCTGTATAGGAAATGGGCCACCCAATGTAACTTTCAAACTCCTTTTTATGATGTAGAAGGTCCTTCATGATCTGGCCCCCTCTTAACTCTCTAGCCTTGTATCTTACCAGCCTCTATCTTAGTCATTTAGGACCACTCTGTTCTTCAGATCTGGGGTCAGGTTTTCATGTCCCCAAGCCTAGGCACAATCAACATTTTGGCTACTTTCAGTTGGCTCCTTTTCACCCATGAGAATGCAACTCGAAACCTCATTTCCTCTTAAAGCCTTCTCTCTCCCCCCAAGGTAAATCACTCTGCTCTGGTGCCCTCTCTTTTCTTTGTGCCTCTCCATCACAGCATGTCACTTACTGGTGCCATTGCCTGTTTATCTGTATCCCCATCAGGCTATAAATTCTATGAGACTAGCATCCTCAAAAATAAATGTGTTGTCTAAATAATTATTCAATGAACATCATGGGGTTCCCTGTGTAAGAAAGACTTTTAATGATGGATCATCTTCAGTGATAATGCTATCATTCTTTATAAATAAATCCATTTGCTTAGGAAACTGGGATACAAATGTACAAAGTAATCGATTAAGGGTATCTTCAGAAGATATAGGGAAAATACATTACTCCTCTCTATCCATTAGGAATTGCTTTGCATCTTTTTCAAAATGTGTTCTCACAGAGTCACATGACAGACATAGGGAAAGAGGTAAGTATTTTAAGGCAGAAACTTCCTTGATAGACTGTGGAATATGACAGGAGGAGACAGAGTTTTTGTCACCTGCTCAGCAACTGGTACTTTTAGAAAGTTTCTACTTCACCTCCAGCTGTGGCTATGGCCTCCTCCTCTCAATCTATGCACATTTTTCTGCTACTGTTTTAAGTGTTACTCCATAAGTGGACTGGTGTGTGTGGTCAGCAACTGTGTTAAGGTCACGAGAGGAGCCAGAAAGTGGAATCCTGTAGCCAGACATTATCTCCTTTATCTACCAACTCAGGTTCTCTACATTATCTCCTTTATCTACCAACTCAGGTTCTCTGTGGCTAGAATCTGCAAAAGTGAATTTTTTAAAGCTACCCATGTAATTCCTTGAACTCTGCCTATTTTGAGAACCAATCCCCATAGACCTGTTGGACAGGGTGGTATGTAAGTCAGGTTGCCTTAAAAGGGAATAGAACAGTCTCTCACAGGTGTTTAGACCTAGGACACCTTATTCATTTATCCACACTGGGTATACAAACAACAGACTTCAATTCAGCCCAACTACTGAGGTCCATGGTTGAAAAAATAAATCTAAACTCCGGGCACTAGACTAAATTAGATCCTTTTTGGAATATCTCTGAAGTGCCATATTTTTATTCATGTTTACAAAAATTATTTTCTAAATTTATTGCTAAGTCCCTACAAAATCTCTGAAGTTTTCTTGAAGTTGAAATTAACAAGTCCTATATTATCCTGAATATAAAGAAGTGCATAAATATTTTTACCTAGTTTAAATTCTGAACTCTAAATGGACTAACCAAATTTAATCTTAGGGTAGGTTATACCTAAGAGAAACAGCAACTCAAAGAGGTATTTAAAAGGAAAAGTTATAAAAGCTTTGCAAAGTAATGAAAGTACTTCTGTCACAACCACAGTGTGGCAAACCACGCATTAGAACAACTTGAAGCTGTAACTCTTGATGTGTTCCTAGCCAGCTCAGTTAAGACATAAGCTAGAGACTTGATTATGGAATGCTGCCCAATGCTGTCAATTTAGAAACACTCTGCCAACTTGGCATCTAATTTCAAAACATTACTTAGCATAAAATTTAAATCCCATTGCTCTGTATCATAGCTTCACACTCGGGGCTGTTTTAGGGGATGAGTTTCTTCAGCCTCCTCACATCTTGCACCATATGGATTTCAGGAGCACAGCAGGCCTGTTTGATGACAGTCACTTCCACAACATGCCTTTTTAAAACCAGAATCTCTGCTTTCTTCCATTTTCTCATAAAGTTGAGTATGTATACTATTTATAACACTAATAAAATAATAGGTCACTGAAAGCAATATGGACACAGAGAAATCACACGCTTACGAATCAGGGGAAATGGTCACATGGTCTTGAACCCCACAAAGAGAATCAGAAAAAAATGCTACAGGAGTGATTAAGTTTTCATAGTTTAAAACTCAAATGAGATTTTAAAGATAAGAGAATCACTTAACAAAATGTCTTAAAACTCCCTCTCTCATCCTAATAAATATCCCCAATGGTCTTCACAATGGAGGAGAGTGGAATTCACTATTGAGAGTGCCAGCAGCGTCCAAGGAAAATATCGGCAATATC